GGCTATTAAATTTAAGCCTGGGTTTCAACTCTGTTGGGTTTTATCAGGTACATACACATTCTTCTAGTAGTGGATGGATGGTTGTCTTTGAAGTTTGTTGATTTTCCTGCATTAGTATTTAGAGATTATGGTGAATTTGAATGCATGACACTAAAAAACTACAAGTGTACTACTTCTGAATGTATTTTGCCATCAATCTTGGTCATTCTGACTCCATTTAATATTTGGAGTTGGACAATCATGTATGTGTCACTGGTCTCCTGGTAGTTCTAACTGTAGGTTTAATGTTTATCTTTAAGTTCAGCCATCATGGAAGTGCTACAGTACTTCTTCGTGGCATTATTTATATCTCTCTTCCCCATAGTTCCTTTTTTTTACTAGTTCTGATTCGTGTACCTTCCTGGCATACTTCCTATCCAGATGACGAAGCTAGCAATCATTCCTTGTACCGTCTTCCTGGAGACTGTCTTTTTGGCGAAGAAGTTCAGGTATGAATACATTGTATTTTGCAATTTTTTATATACTGTATTTAAGCAATTTTAGTAGTTCTAGATGAAAATAATTGCGAAACCCATTGTTATGCTTAGTGGTAGAGTTATTGGTCCAATGACAAAGGCACTTTAAATAAAAAATACTGCTATATTATTGTTTGAAAGGAGACACCCAGTTCATCAGTCTCCACCAATGTGGGGACTGGGGGTTCACCTACGAGAAGGTATTATGTGGCTTGAACCTTTGTCATCAAGGAGTAACTTTGCTGTTGTACCAAGGATTACTCTCTACCAATGTATTGTTATATATTTCACTATATTCATTTTAATAGCTGTAATCTGTAAAACAATTACAAGAACTGTAATGATTTTAATTTTAAATTTGTGCATAATATCATTTATTTTTTTAAGGTGCAAATCCTACCTAAGTTGAGTCAGAAGACTCAGAACAATGTGAACTTCCACTTCACTTACTTGAACCTTAAACCGCCACAATGGGACCATCTTGAAGTTCTAGGAGGGAACACTTCAGCAAAAGTGGATTCACGGTGGCAATATACATCTTTGATCCAGAACAATTTGATATACATCATGGGGTCGTCCATTTCATAAATGGTATCGTTACTACTTGATGTTTAAAAAAGCTGGAAATTGGGACTATGACCAACCAAACTCTACTTAACTCCCTGACATCATGTCTTCACCTTGGAAACAAGCCAGAATCTCGGTGCTGACAATTGTGCTGATTGCCTAGAAGAAGTTTCAAGTAACTTGGTCCACATTTACATTCAAAAGGTTCATAAATACATTAGGGACTCTAAAGATTGCTTTGATGATTGCTTTTAAATATTCACCTAAAGCAACATTTGCATGTCCATGTTCCATCTGCAAAAGACTAGTATGCCACTTCAATGCTATAAAGCATAAAGATCACCAAGTGACAGCCACAGTCTGACAATCATGACTCATTAATCCAACCAGTTTTGTTTATTGATGATTATGGTATCTGCATTCTATTTGTCCATATGGTGCAGTATTCATATACAAGTCTAGAAATCTCATTTGTTAATCTTTCAAAGTTCAAATATATATTTGTTCTACAGTTATTTACCAGGTCAGTGAGATTTTTTTGTTTGCTTAGACATGTAGAAATTGAACTCAACTCTTGGTTGTATTTATTCTAAATCATTTTTTTTATCTAACTGATACTTGATACTTGTGTTGCAGTCGGAGTATTCAGTTCTCACTTTCCATCCTTCTTTTGGGTGTTGGAATTGCAACCGTGACAGATTTGCAGCTTAATTTGCTGGGATCTGTATTGTCTCTTCTAGCAATAGTTACGACTTGCGTTGCACAAATTGTATCCTTATATAACAAATTTCTACTATTTATTGCATTTCATCAATCATTTGTGACACTCAACTACTGAAGTTCTGGCAATAAGCATCAAGAACTTAACTTTTGCATGTACCACTGTGCTGTTTAGATGCTAGCATGATACCATAACAGCATGATAATTCTATGTAACTGTTGACCGAGGGTAACTTGTTCCTAAATGTATTTACCGAATGAGTCATGCTTTTGATTCTTGCTTTAGTCCTTAACCAGTGGTATGCAGATGACAAACACTATACAAAAGAAGTTTAAGGTCTCCTCAACCCAACTTTTATATCAGTCTGCCCCTTATCAAGCTTTAACCCTGTTCGTTTCTGGTCCATTTCTTGATGGGCTTCTAACAAACCAGAATGTGTTTGCATTCAATTACACTCCTCAAGTTCTTGTAAGTAGTTTCTTTTAAATTTCCTTTTTGAGTTATGCAGTTCTCATCTTATACTTGAATTTTATTTTGTAGGTTTTCATTGTGCTTTCATGCCTAATATCAGTCTCGGTCAACTTCAGCACATTTCTTGTGATTGGGAAGACGTCGCCTGTGACATATCAAGTTTTGGGTCATCTCAAAACTTGCCTGGTTCTGACTTTTGGTTATGTCTTACTTCATGATCCATTTAGTTGGAGGAATATCTTTGGGATCTCAGTTGCAATCGTTGGTATGGTTTTGTATTCTTATATCTGCACAATTGAGGGCCAGCAGAAAGCTCGTGAAGCATCTTCTCAGATGTTGCAGGTACGGCTATGGTTTTTTCAATATTATAATTATCAGAATCTAGCCAGCACTTCATGGCATTCTCTCCTGCTCTTTGCTCCTGCCATCCAATGATTAGAGGAGAATGGAGCCTCTTGGGTTAATGAAATGTTAAAAGAGAATCAAGGCCTTATTCTTCCTTGTTTAAGTGACTGATAGAGTCACTCCATCTTTATTAGTATTTCATGCTACCTCATTTCTGAAAAAATCACAATCAATCGATATGAAGTAAAATGTGGAAGCATCAGGTTTGAGTGTGTTGATCGATAATCTCATTCAGAATAGTAAGTGTCAACTATTCCAGGCATCATATGTTACATTTGCACTTAAATTCTTGCTATAGGATATTCCAAATATTGGCAATTCATAGTACATAGGATCATGGCCAATATATATATGTCTGGAAGCAAGAATTAGAACAAATGGTTTGAATGGTCTAGAACAACTTTATAGCATTCAACAACCTGGTTATTTGAGTAAATCATGGCTAACACAAGGAGCTACATAGTGGATGCTATTGGTAGTCATTTGTAAAGCAAATCTATCATGTGCTTTTCGGTCTTCATTCCATCATATTTGTCTTAAGCTATACAGTAGTTGCTATTATTTTTGCAAGGATTTAAGTACCGGTCTAATCTATTGGACCAATACAATACTGATATATTAGATGGTCTACTACCATGTATCGCCCGATGTCATTGAATAAAATTAAAACAAAAAAGATGAACAACGTACATAGCAGTATCAAACTGTATGTTTTGACGCTGGTTTTTGGTCAACCATTATGTAAGAGTTGATACATACTGACTGGTTCACCCTTTTTATAAAACCTTTATTATTTGTAATGTAAACCTGCTAGCTGGGCTTGTCTCAATCTGTGTGCCTATGGTTTGAAGGTTAACATTAGTGTCAGTGACTTAACATCAGTCTTTGGACACATCAATGAATATTTAAAACCCATCTTTTCGTTAGCGAAGAGGCCAAAATTTAATTTCTGTGCTTATATTGTGTTAGATGCCACTGCTAAGTGATGCTTCTGTTTTACCTTGTGATTACTGATAAACTAACTAGTAAATGAAATGCTTCATCCGGAGATGGTGTTTTCTGAGGGTTTGATTTACATGTCTTTACGACTCTCTTGGACCTCATTAACTCTGTCACTTCGTGCACTGTTTTCTTCGTGATGCTTTAATTAGACAAATAGTGTCAATTTCATTGACAATAACGATTTGATCATTGCGATGCTCAATGTGATCCGAATGGAATTTCCCAAATGTGTTACTCTAAGCTCTTGAAAAAAAACACAATTATATCTGAAGATTGATGACTTCCACATGTGCTAATAAACTCTTTTGAGTTCGTTGCAGGTGAAAGACAATGACTCTGACCCTTTGATGAGAGCTGAGAGTGGAGCTGGCATAGATGCTGATGGTGCTGCTCCAACAGCAACAGTATGGAGCTCAAACAAAGATTTGCGTGCTTGAAATCTGCTCCAATCTACACCATCACACATGCAGACCCAAAGTTATCTGAATGTCATGATGTTGGAAGAGAAGACCCCCTTATCTTTCCGAAATCAAAGTAAAAGCTTTGCATAATCAGTTCGTAAGGCAATTTATATTTGCATACGTTCTCGTGTGCATTTTTATTTAGATTCTTGCAATCTTTCAGTGAAGCGCATCAAATTCTTCTTCATAAGGTGCCATCCGCAATTTGTATCTCAAAAACTCTATGATTACACCATGGAAATGAAGTGAGAATCTTGAATTCCTTGTTCTTGTTTGCCTATCGGGTGTAATAATTTGGTAGATTCCGTGAGTTAAATCGATTTCGGTTTCATCTGCAAGTGAGACTTTTGTGCCTCGTGCAATTTCTTCATCCACAGAATGCGACTTCTCACTACCAAGCGGCCACGCTTTTGGGACGCCCAATTTGTCAGATCGTCAGAACTCTTCCAGTGCAGTGAATCAAACCGTGCCTTGGAATTCATTCTTGGGGAAATCTGTCATTGACCACTGTTTTATGCTCGACTTTGCAATGCAATACCATAAAATCATTTAAATATATTATCTTCGATCCCATCTAAAGCCAACTTTTTTGTTGACAATCCCATCTATAACAAACTTTAGTTATACAGAATAAATCGACAATCCCATCTAAAACAAACGTTTGTTTTTTATGAAATGATATTGAAAAATAAAAAATATTTTCCGAGCAAACTGATCGGATTTGGTTGGGTTTTCTTCGATCCGCTGCAAACTGGTTTCCAAATTAAAGCGGGACGGCCCGGTCCGGTCCGGTCCGGTCCGACGAGCGTAGTGCCGTTGTTTTGGGATTGATGGTTGAGACGTTGCCCATAGTATTTTGCCGTATAATAGGAGCCAGGGTGACACCACCTCGGCTTAATCCCAAAGCTTGTGGGCGATCGGCCATGGCTCTCCGAACCCTCTTCTCCAAGAAAGCCTTCACAACAGCTTCTGGATTCCGTCCGATCGCCGCCGGAGATCGGTGTTTTCTTCGCCAGGCGCGGGGCCTCACGGTTGCTGCCCTCCCGGACCTAGCCTATGACTACGGCGCCCTCGAGCCCGCCATCAGTGGCGAGATCATGAGGCTCCACCACCAGAAGCATCACCAGGCGTACGTCACCAACTACAACAATGCCCTGGAGCAGCTCGAGACGGCTGTGGCCAAGGGGGACGCATCCGCGGTCGTCCGCCTGCAGAGCGCCATCAAGTTCAATGGTGGAGGTTCGCCTGTTACCATTTCCTCTTCTCCTTATCTCTGTGTTCCCTGGATCTGAGTTGGATTTGTGTTTATAGGCCGCCTGTAGCCTCCATTAGACTGTTCTGATTGTTCTGTCAAGATTTCACTTATATTTTTATTTATCTATTTACGTATTTTATATATGTAATCCTACCGGGAGGACTGAGATCTTCAACCCATCACCTCAAAATCAAATGCATATGATCCAAATCACAGACCAACTCCGTTGAACATAATCTACAATTATCGAGACGTTTGGAATCCATGTGTCATATGGTTTGATTATAATTTGTAGTTGTCATCGTACACTTACAAACAAACAGTGTAGAAAGCATTCACGAAAGTCTGATGTAGAACGATTTAATTTTTGATTGGAATGATTTGGCCTTGATCTAAATATTGTTAGATGAGTACATATAAAAACTCAACCTATTCTGATACTTCTACGGTGTTGATTGAATCAAAATATACACTGTGTGGCAGGAACTGCTTATTTTCTTCATTTGATGCATACGTCAGATTACTTCCATTTTTATTTTTCATTATAGCATTTCAAACATCAAATATTATGTTTAATGGCGCTGATCTATTATTAAGATTCCATGATTAATTTTGAGGCGACAAGACTGCAGCCCCAATTCTGTCAATGGGATTCTTTGTATATATGCATGTATGTATACACACACATATATATACTCATATACATATACATGTATACACACATACTGATATAGATACATACATACATACATATATATATATATATATATATATATATATATATATATATATATATTATATGGAGCATGACAGATTGTCAAGATTTGGTAATCTTCATTACATCAGAGTTGATTAGACTTGAATCAACACTGATATACATCAGAGCTTTAGATAATATTGCCCTGAATCAACAGATTCATGGTTACATTTGTCAATAATCTGCTGGACAAGGCCATCTAGGTACCACTTGGAAAGTCATTGGAGTTGAAGACACAGGTTTTTTGTTGTGTTTTGATTTGAATTATTTCAACAATGTATTTTGATATTTTCTTTCAGGTCATATCAACCACTCGATCTTCTGGAAAAATCTCAAGCCTGTGAATGTAAGAGGAGCATCACCAGTTTTATTGCTTATGGAACATCTTGTTCTTTTATATTTATAATTCTGCAAATGTTATTATGGAAATGATCTTGCAGGAAGGTGGGGGTGAGCCTCCACACAGCACACTTGGTTGGGCAATCGATACAGACTTTTGTTCTTTGGAGGCTCTGGTGCAGAAAATGAATGCAGAAGGTGCTGCTTTGCAGGGATCTGGATGGGTGGTGAGTTTGTTTATATTTTTATTTTTTTTATTTAGTCAACCAAATGATCCATTTCTTTTGATGTGTATCTGTTGGGTTGTTTCTTGTTCATTCTCTTTGACTTACTTTGGAACAGTGGTTAGCTCTGGATAAGGGAAGTAAGAAACTCTGTGTTGAAACCACTGCAAATCAGGTAAAATCTGTTCTGCAGAGTAACATACATCTATCCCCCCAAAGCTTTAGGTTTTTTTATGGTTTGAGTTCCTTGTGCTTGTCATTACATTAAAGCCAGTCTAACTGAGCCAATTTTGTTCCTTGTTATTCATTTTTGGTTGGTTAAAAAAGAATGATTGAAGGATCATTGGAGGAATTTCCTTAATCATTGAACATTTGAACATAATCACTTTTATAAGGCTTCTTCTCTACACATTGGTAACTTTTGCAGTTGTATTTTAGTGCTATCGTGGCCAAGATATGCAATACCGAACCGTACCGGTGTTTCGAGGTTAGCTCGGTACGATACGGTATCGTATACCGAGCGGTACACCTAATTTTAAATATTTCTTTCTCTTTACTGTAGCACTGTAGCACGTTAGCGGTCCGTGTACCGGTATATCGTCGGACCGGTACATACCGCCTGTACCGGGTGGTACTATTCGAAATTGCATACCATGATCATGGCACATTTGAAAAGCTTTTTCCTCCAAGTTTGTTTGTGTTTTGAAGGACATGAATTTTGCTCTTTTATTCGGTATATGATCTGGTCAGACAATTGAAGTCTATGAATCTGATATGATCGAAATGATCCATGTAGTAGAAGATTGTGGTTATAAACATAAGGACCTTGTGCCATGCAGATTTGCATTGTTATGCTTTAGGAGCTTATTTTTATGTTTTACATAATGCATGGCCTACTAGTTGTCTAAAATTGTTTTGCAGCTAGTAGTTGGATAGGCCAGTTTTAAGTATAAGTTCTGTGTCCATTTTGTGGTTCACTAAAACCTTTGGTTATGGGGGATTTACAACTTAAATATTTGGTCTAAGATGGCTTATTTAAGGTGTCTATTCCCACTTTACTAACTTTCTAAATCTGTTTGTTTGGGAAATATATATCACCAATTTTCTAAAACCATAGTAGATTTTGCCAACTATATTGTCCAATAAAGAGCCCAAAATAAAAAAAAATCATCATTCAATAACTAACTAAATAAATACTGGTTACTTCAGGCTGATTTCCCTAAAATGGAACACATGATTAGAATAATAATTCTAGGCTATACAAAATATTGCTTTGACACAACTTACTTGATATAGCCGACTAAACATTCTTTTATGTGGTCTGTTCCATTGAACTCTAAACACTACTGGCTATCACCTGAATACTGTGGCTAGATTGCTGATACCTGCCTGTAATTATATTCCCAACTTGAACCAAACACTTCTGATTCAGACATGTAACATGAGTTTCCATTTTGTTATCTGTCATTTATGATTGTTCAATGTGTTAAATAAAAATTTGCTGTAACTTTGCTTTTATTTTAATAACTTCCAGGCTCTGGTTCTTGTCTTTTATGCTTTAGTCTTTTATTTTTATTTTGTTTTGTGTATATGTCCAAAGACAATTGGCTAACTGTTTTTATTTACAGGATCCACTAGTGACCAAAGGTGCAAACTTGGTTCCTTTGCTGGGCATTGATGTGTGGGAACATGCATACTACCTGCAGGTACATACTGACCTCTACTGTTATATGTTTACCACCTGTTATTTTTAGGCTGCCAGGCATGCAGAAATAGGTCCATAGAGATGCAATCATTCTTTGGAAGCTTGCAAGATCCTGCATTAGTACGGAGAATCTGCATACATGCATTTATGAATGCTCTTGTTTCTGCATGTGTGATCTCGTGCATACATGTGTCTTCATTAGCATGTGACTAGATTGTTTTTGTGCAGGAATCCAAAACGAAAGTTTCTAGAAAAGGATCTTATCAAATTTCACATCAACTTCTTTGACAAATTGATATGATCCTTTAAAACAACATAGCTCTCTATGTATCTTTTGTTATAACCTCATGAAATCAACTTCAAACTGGACTTAGAAGATAGTTGCCAATTGAGTTATCTAGCTTAAGCTCATGCAACAATGAACTTCAGTTACATATGAAGAAAATACTTATACAAATTGCAGATATTAAAATTCATGTAATGTAGTAGTACTTGTACTTTTTTTTTTCTTGCAAAAAAACAGTTTGCTAAATATATTATATTTGTTTAATGTTTATATAATATTAAATTATGTAACTATCATTAAAATATGTCAAATACTTTATCTTTCTTCTTCGGTATAGCTGGTTAAGAAAAAAATGTCATTTTATTTTGTTATCTACGCAACGCATAAGTGAAAGAAAATAGTACTTGTTATTTCTTGTTGTAATTTGTCATCAGAAAGCAACTGTTAAGTTTTTTAACTCACTAGCTAGAAAGTTACTCTCATGATTTAAGTAACAAAAAGATGATCCAGTGCATAAGACTCTCACCAATAGCTTGATTTGTCATATTTTTCTATTATGGTCAAGAGCATGAAATGCTCTTTCACTGAAGTAAGAAGCTATAGTGAAGTAGTAGATACTAGAAGACTCATGTTATTACATTACACAGCAAAACTACCTTGCCCATTATGGAGTATAAGTTGCTCTGTCCATCATGAATTAGAAAGGAATATTTCCGCTCTTCAATCTTAGGCAAAGAAGTTTTCAACTAGCACCGGCTCACATGTAAACTCTTTCCTTTCTAGCCAAAGAGACAATTATGTCAATCTCGTGATCAGTTTTCCTGTTATTAATGCACCTGATCACCTGTGATGATGCAATCATTGGATTGTTGGAAGTTCATTTATGCAACATCAGTCTACTTCCCTGTTTTTGGAGCATTCCCAGTCTTTCTTTGATGCCTCACTGTTCTTGATGTTGATGTGTTTCTCCTAGGAATTGTTGTCATGACCTTTGTCTTCATGTGTATTATGTTTATATTTATCAACTTAATTTCTGCTTTGTGGCAGTACAAAAATGTGAGACCAGATTATCTGAAGAATATTTGGAAGGTTATAAATTGGAAATACGCAAGCGAAGTGTTCGATGAAGAGACTGCCTGATGTGCCCTTCTTGTTCCGCTGACGAGTTTTCCCGTATGCAAGTCTTGTGTGTGTTGTCACTGTTCTGCTGTATCAAATAAATGAGGGCTTGTCCCTGTACATTTCGTTGCCTTTCATTAATCTTTAGCACCTCCATGCAAATTACTTAAGATGTGTTTAGAATTAACCTTTTAGTTATCTGAAACAGGTTTGACCTCATAATTATCGATCAAGCCAAGAACTATTACCGGTCGACAATTAGTTTTTTTATATATTTTTTTATTATATCAAATGATGCAGGTTTGACCCCCGTAACTATCAAGAACCATAATTGGTCAACTATTACTGAAGGCTTGCAATGTGTTTCATATAAGAAAAGGAATGAATCTGCCAGGGTGCAACCTGTTCTTTTGGGGCCCAAGGCATATGATCTTCATACAGGGACAGATGAAGCATTCACCTTCATCCTCTCCCCTCAGGTTCACTCTTTTTAACTCCTGCAACTGGTTACTAGTGCTAGGAAGAGAAGAGAAGAGGAGGAAGATGTATCTGTGGACACCACATATGTTTGTGGACCTCCAGGAACCAGAAGAACAACAAGGACTGATACTATGTTCTCAGTATTATTTGGCAGTTTTTGGTTTAGTTATGCTATCTTCTCAAACTCCATTTTGTCTTGCCCATTCATGGCCTCTTTCCTGTACACTGTGGACCTCATTCTGTCTGCGACCTCAACCAAGTTTGGATCTAAGAAGTGTGCTTGAACAAGCATCTCATATTAACTCACTTGGTAGTATAATAACTGGACTTGCAGCATCCAATTCTTCACTTGTCGTTGGGAGTTCATTGCTAATATCTTGATCATCTACACTTACAACTCCATATCTTTGCATCTTCTGCAGCTAGGAAGAACTCAGTGAGAGAAATGAGGACAACCACATTCTGGATCATCCACACGAGCCACCAAATACTGCATGAGATAAGAGAGCTTCGAGTTCGTTCTTCGTCTTTGGTATTTATTACGTGGTCCTTCATGCTGCATCCCTTGATGTCCCTACCGGAGAAGAATCCACGATTCGGACGGTAGATGATCATCGATTTCAGTTTTGTGGCAATTATAAGGCTCTCTAATGTTCACGTTCTGTAATGTTGCAAGGAACTGGAGACCTTCTTGCTTCCAACTTGCAATGAACTCAAGAACAGAGGCAAGCTTGGGAATGAATTCAGAGTACCATTCAGTAAAGAGCAGTAATCCAGCATTGTTTATCTAAGCATATCAAGATTAACATATAAATTTTCAGTTAAACATGAAGCATAAATCTCTCAGGATTTTAACAGTTCCAACATGCTCAAGTTTCTTATTCTGCGACTGGGAGACTTCCAGCCCGTAAACTATGTTCTGATTCCTAGCCTGTACAGTATGTGCTGCAAAGCAAAGAATTAAAAAGGAAGATGTGAAATGCATGGGTGCCTGGTGAATTCAGATTCGAGGGATCATTCTTCTCTGCTGTGAGTGCTGTCCATAAGAAACCTAAATTAATTGACCATTCTTTCCTCTTTCATGCGGCTCAAGGCTGACCCCTTTTTGTTGTTTTGATCATCCTTGAAGGTATAAAGTCCACTGCCTGGTACGCAAGCATTCCATGGGCATAGCAGCTTTTGTTGCATTCATGCTTCCCTCTTGTGGTTTGCTTTGCTGAAAGCCTCTTTTTCTTGTTGTGGGACACAACAAGAAACTTTGAAACATACTATATGGACTGTAGCCTTGAAAGGTCTGAAAGAATCCATTTCCCATTGTAATATTTAGTTCTACTCTCTCCACCATGCCTTGAAAGGTCTAATCCATTTCATTAATCTATCAGTAGGTCGATGACGATACGGGTGGCTGTGTGATGGAATTGATGGAGAATTGAGTGTCTCAGAGAACTTGAAGAAACAACAACTTATGTATTCTATAAACATTCTTTATTCAACAATATAAGAAATATGCTTTGAAATTAAAAAAAAAAAAAAGAATTACTTCTTGTGTTGAGATATCATTGGTGGAATAGAGTTGAAAGAAGTTTGATCACATCGAAAGGTGGAGTGGTCAGTATTAGAAGAAATTTAACTACAACAGGGGTGACTGTGTGATGAAGTGGGTGTAAAAGAGTGTTATCTTCCAAAGCTTTAGTTGAAGTTGTCCCACTGACAAACACAACATCTCTTCTTCATCCTTCCTACATGGCTTCTTATGCTTTAATTTGGATAAGGGGACACTTCCCACAGTTTTCAGTCTGATAGATTTGAGAGAGAGAGAGAGAGAGACAGAGAGAAAGAGAGAAGAGAGAGTATTGGATTTGCATGTAGGTCTCCAGAAACTTCTTGGACCACTGGATACATACAGAATGGGTG